GGGGTGCACGCGGGGCGGAGGGCTCCTCCGCCCGCTGAGGGGACTGCGCGCGCCGACGCCCCTCGGTCGGCAGCGGCTCGGGGGGAAATGGGCGCGCGCCGCAGCGGAGCTCCACACAAAAGGCGCGGGGATCCACGATCCGCGCCTCTAGGAGGGCGGAGCGCAAGGGGGCGGGTCGGTGGGCGTGGCCCGAGTCCAGAGGGGCGGGACAAAGCCTTCTGGAAAGAGTGGCGGGGCAATCGGGCCTGGGGGCGGGGCAGGGGGCGGGGCCTAGGGCCCAAAGGCAAAACCGTAACTTCGAGGAACGGGTTAACTTACTGAGTTCCAGGTCAGTCAGGGCTACGTAATGAGACCCTGTGTCCAAGAGAAAGACTGGTGCCAACCTCAGCGGGAAAGCCTCGGGGACTTGGGTCTAGGAGGCGGGGTAGTGGGCGTAGCCTAGGGCCCAGAGGGGCTGGGCTAAACTGCAAGGTAAGGGAGTTTAGAGATGGGACTTGGAGATCTGGGCCAGGTCTTGGGGCAGAGCAGTGGGTGTAGTCGATGGATCGATCTAAGGGGAACCAGGGGAAGCATTGAAGAAGGAGTTCGTAGGTAGAAACTGGGCGGAGCTCCGCAGGAAGGCCTGGAGGGTCGTGGGCCTGGGGGCGGAGCTCGGGGTGTAAACTAGGAGCAAGGAGGGCCCGGTGGGGCTAAACCCCTAGGCAAGCCCTGATGGTGCGAGAGCTAGAGAGGGCAGGGCAAGTGGAGAGGTGTGGGACCAAGGGCGTGCGTGATTTAGGAGGCAGGGCTGAGCGCGGAGGGTGCCAGGTGGCACGTGGAGTCCTACTGTACAGGCTTTTCCAGGGCATTCACAGAGCACTGTGAGCTGGAAGGCAGCAATCTCTACTGGATTCCTTCACCTGCTGCACTGTTAGCAGTGCCTGAGGTTATAGCCTTCCTAACCCCATTTGTTCCTGTCTATCCGGGGTCCAGACTGGTGTGTCTGTTACAGAAGAGCCTTGTCACATCTTAAGAGTTAGGGATGTTCAAGCCTCAGGTCACCTAAAGGTATCCCGGGTGTGCTCAGGACAGACAGGGTTAGCCTGGCTTATTGGTGCTCTTCCTGCGTGTGGCCACTGCAGATCAGGTGTCTTCCCTGCTGCCCCTGAGGTCTAACAAGTTGTTACTATCCTGTGACTTGTCAAGAAGTATCAACTGGTTTTGCTGTGAAGACACTGTCTTTCCTCTCGACCCCACACATCACATGCCATAAAATCACTGACACTGTGGAGAAACCATTTTCAAAGCCAAGGACTGGTGGCCTCCAGAAAGAAATCTTCTTGAGGTTGTATGTTTCAAAAATGTTAACATTTTGTATCAAAAGAGTGAAAACCACAAATTCTTCTACTTTATTCTGAGGAATAAAGCCTTCATTCTGTATGTGCGAACTTTGCTAAATAGACATTGGTTTCAAATGACTGGCTGTTAAGGAAAAGGGAAGGCCAGGTAGGGGTGATGAGAAATGTGGGGAAGACCCTTTCAGAGTCTGTTTCCTACTGACTGGGGCCTCAACTGGTCCTCAGCAGCCTGCAAGTTGGCTTTAGGATTCCCACCTATTGGATGAAGAACTTGGAGAGGTTTGAACTCCCATGGCATTAAGTGTGGAGCATTGAGCGCCCATGGCGTTGAGTGTGGAGCATTGAGCTCCCATGGCGATAAGTGTGGAGCATTGAGCGCCCATGGCGTTAAGTGTGGTGCGCTCGCCGCTGCAGGCCCCCTCGAGCTGGTTTAGACAAAGATCAGCATCCTGCATAGGAAAACAAGACACAACAGAGGATGGGAGTGGCCCCTGTCTCTTCTCCCACAGCCCTTCCTGCAGCTCATGGAGCCCTCTGATGAAGAAAACAGATTGGAGAGACCTCCTTAGGACCTGAACTGCTAATTTCATGAATTCACTGAGTGGTGTGGAGACGCTCACTTTCCCTTTCCCACAATACCTGTCTCCTTTTTCAGGGAAGGACTTGCTGTAGTTGGCATGGAAGGACCACAAAGGGTGCTTATGTTCTGGTTCTGTCAAGAAATGAAAATTATCTTTGATCCATTTTGCCCTCGAAATTTGAGGTTAGCCTGGGAGATATATATATTGGTTTTTCGAGACAGGTTCTCTCCGTGTAGCTTTGGAGCCTGCCCTGGATCTCACTCTGCAGACCAGGCTGGCCTCAAACTCACAGAGATCCTCCTGGTTCTGCCTCCCAAGTGCTGGGATTAAAGCTGTGCGCCACCACCGCCCAGCTCTGGAATTTCTATTTTGACTCTTTCTTTCCCGAGTTCCTCCACTTCTCTGGTGACTCTCCTTAAGAGTATGTTACACAGCTTGAAGGTGGATAATTCCTAACAGGGCCTTGCTGCCTGCCCTGCTTGGGAAGATACCAAGACAGGGAATACTTGAAGGGAAGCAAGACCAATGTGGTGGGAGGGAACCTGGGGTGGCTGTCCTGCAGGAGCTGTGGGTCTTGAGGAGAGACTAAAGCGCATGGCTGTTGCTTAGCCTGGAACTAAGCTGAGAGTTCCCACCATTTCAGAAGATAAGGCCAACTACATTCCGGGGGCGCAGACTGGCCAGAAGTTCTGGAGGAGCCTTGTCATGGTGTTTCAATGTGTCTCCCAAAGAGTATGTTTTGGGAACTTAGTGCCCAATGCAACAGGACCTCAGAGGGAGTCACTGGGCCACAGGGCTCCGACCTTGTCAGTAGATTAATGCTGAGTTTCAAAGGGCTGAAGACTGCAAACGGAAGGTCTCACTCATGTGCAGCAAATTGAATGGCTTTACCCACTGGGCCGTCTTGCCATCTCAAGTCTGGAAGACACTGAAGGAGAGCAATCTGAGTTTAAAAAATAATTCTTATGACAAAAAAAAATACCTAATTTCAGAAATTAATTAGAGACAGAAAAAAACAGAAGAGACACTTAAATAGGATTTTTAAAAAATGGCATACTTTTCTGTTGTCAGCTCAAAAACAAAGCTGTCAGATAGGTCAAAGGGAATAAGAGAGTCTATTCTGGAACCAAATATGAGTGAGTTTGGCCCAGGAACACAGGTTCAGCTTACCCCAAATACCATGCTCTAAGACCGTAACGGTTTCAAGAAGCTTTTAGAGTTGCAAAGCAGGGACGGAGAGATGGCTCTGGTTAAAAGCACTGGCTGCTCTTGCAGAGGACCTGGGTTCGATTCCCAGCATCTGCATGGCAGCTCACAACTGTCTGTAACTCCAGTTCCAGAGGATCCAATACCTAGGCACAGACAAACGTGCAGGCAAAATACCAAATGCACATAAAATAAAAATAAACAAATACTTAGGGTTGCAGAACAAAAGCAAGTCATAAATCAAGGCATTTTTCAAATACAGCAGTGGAAACATCAGGTAGGTGGGTTACAGACAGCTCTATGCTCAGATGCTAATGAGACCCTTAGTGGACAGGAAGTGGCCCATGCCCAGTGACCCACTTCCTCCTGCAAGCAAGACCTCCTGCAAATTCCACCATCTTCCAGTTTGGGGCCAAGTGTTCAAACACGTGAGCCCATGACACACACAACACTTCTGGTACCTTTATTTGTGCTTCCAGCCCACGGAACTGTGAGAAAACAGGCAGCTGTTGTTTAACCACACGCCTGTGGTATTTTGTCATGGCAGCCCTGGCAAATGAGGTTTCTTTGGAGAGATGAGAAAAACCATCTAAAATTAGTAGTGACGGTGGCACACTCTAGAATATGCTGAAACCACCGAGTGCACACTTTCACCAGGTGATCTTGAGAGGATGCAAAGTCTAGCTCAGTAAAGTTGCAAGCAAACAAAACCCAGAAATTACCATGTTTTGGAGAAGATGGACAGGGAGGACATGCGGGTTCTTTAGAAACGATGACCTTTGTCTTCTCTGCTGTACTAAATGGAGTCTTAGGCAGGCCTGTAGCTTTCTTTCCTCAGAGATCCCTGAGCTTCACTCTAAGCCACAGCTAAAAACCTGAGGGCCACTCCGATTCTGTCTTCCACGGTGTGCATTAGTGCCTGTGGCAGACATGGCAAACAAATACTAAACAGACCTGGGCAGTTCGAAACAGAGCACATTATAATCTTACGACTCTGCGGATGTCTGACACAGGGGTGGGGTGGGCTGAGTCCTCTGGAGGCTTGGAGAAACTGTGCCCCTCACCTGTCCACATGCTAGAAACAGCCCATATGCTCTGCTTCATGTCCACAGGCAGAGACCTTGTTCAAAGGTCACTACAGGTTTGTCTTTCTCAAGCAGCATATGGACCTTACTCCCTCTGACCTCTTTGCTGCCATCTTCCCACTGTTGGAGACCCTGTGAGTATATTGGACCCAGTGGTTACACGGGTAACCCCCAAATTTAAGGCTGCTGCGGTTTGGATGTTGTCTATCCACCAAGTTCATATATGTATTGGATGCTTAATCCTCAGTGTGGCCATGTTGTGGGGCGGGGGGAAGTTGTAAGAAATGGGGCCTCCTGAGTCATTAGGTCACTGGAGATGCTACCCTTGGAGAGGACTAAAGGGTTCTTCCAACACCCTTGTTAGTCTTGAAAGACAGTGATGGTAAAAGAACAAGACCAGCCCCTTCTTAATCTCTGGTACCCTGTGCTCACTCTGGAGCCCCCAACAGAGCTGGTGACTAGCAGTGTGGACTCTTAACCTCAACACTGCTAAGTAAACCTCTTTACTTTATTCGTTACTCAGCCTCAGACATTTTGCGATGACATAGGAAATGGGTTAATACAGAGGCCCTCCGACTAGCCACTGCAATTCCCCTCCGCCGTGTAACCTGCAGCACAGGCTTTAAGGTCAGACATCTTGGGGTAGGCAAAAGACACTTCTATATATGAGAAATGTGATGTCCTCCCCTGCTGTGGAATATTTAACCACGTAAAGATGTGTTGCATTTGTTTGTGCTGTGGAATATTACTTCAACTGTGTAAAGGTGTGTTACATTTGTTTGTGTTGCATTTGAAAAAAGTCCCGAGGCAGAACATAAAGAGAAACAGATTTTAAAAAGAGCTAAGATAAGGCCGAGCATTCATAACTAAGAATAAGTCTCTGAGTCATGATTTGGGAGCTGGTTGGGGGTCCAAAAGAAAAAGCCTGCTACATTTGGCGCCCCACATGGTTCAACATTGGGCAACAAATGTAACAGGCTTTCTTTGACCGCCAGCCCCCAAATCATGACATGGAGACTTATTCCTAGCTATGAATGCTAGGCCTTATCTTGTTTTTGTTTCTTGTTAGCTTTTGTAACTTAACCTGTTTCTCTTCACCTATGTTTTGCCTTGGGGCTTTTTACCTTTCCTGTATGTTCTTTTTTTTCTTTTTTTTAATTTATTTATTATGTGTACAGTATTCTGCCTGCATGTGTCCCTGCAGACCAGAAGAGGGCACCAGATCTCATGATAAGTGGTTATGAGCCATCATGTGGTTGCTGGGACTTGAACTCAGGACCTCTAGAAGAGCAGTTGGTGCTCTTAACCACTGAGCCATCTCTCCAGCCCTCTTTCTGTATGTTCTGTTCCATGTCTGGCTGTCCGGCTACTGCCTGACCTCTGGTCCTAGGCATGTCCCTCTCTTTCTCCCTTGTTTTCTTCTTCTTTTTTTTTTTT